AATGCCAAAGCTGTTTCAAGGCCTACCACGCACGCTTCATATTCAGTAGCATTGTTGGTAACGTCGAAATCAAGCTTTATGGAGATTGGAACGTGTTCTTCTTTAGGTGATACTAGTAGTACTCCAACGCCACATCCCTTTTGGTTTGAGGCTCCGTCGAAATACAAGGTCCAAGTATCATCTTCAGTGACCATTAAGTCTTCATCTGGAAATTCATTGTCTTGTATTGGCGTCGAGTCTTCTATTGGAAAGTCTGCTAGAAAGTCTGACACCACGGATCCTTTAATATCTTTTTGTGGCATAAACCTTACATCGAACTGAGCTAGATTGACTATCCATCTTGAAATGCGTCCATTGAGTGTAGATTTCTCGAACAGATACTTGAGTGGATCTAATCGGGAGACTACGAAAACGGTATGTACCAACATGTAATGTCTTAACTTAGTTGGGGCCCACACCAAGGCGAGGCACAATTTCTCAAGCGGTGTATAGCGTGTTTTGTATTCGAGCATCTTTTTACTTAGATAATAGATTGCGTTCTCTTAACCTTCTACTTCTTGTGCTAGCATGGCTCCCATTGTCTCTTTGGTAATCGTCAAATATAACCTAAGAGGTATTCCGAGAAGTGTTAGTGCTAATACGGGAGGATTTGCGAGATAGGCTTTGATATTTTCAAAGGCTTTTTGACACTCGTCATCCCATATTACTGGTACATTCTTCTTGAGCTTCTTGAAGATCGGTTCGCATGTTGTCGTCAGTTTTGATATGAACCTACTTACGTATTGCAACCGACCAATAAATCCTCGAATCTGTTTCTCAGTCTTGGGCGGTGGCATTGACATGATTGCTTTTATCTTGGGTGGATCCACCTCTATTCCTCTAGAGCTTATGACGTATCCCAAGAGCTTGCCTGAGGTGACTCAAAAAGCACATTTTGAAGGATTCAACCTCATGTTATACTTTCTTAGCCTTTCGAAAAATTTCCTTAAGGCTACTTGATGGCCTGGACGGTCTTTTGATTTTACAATCATGTCGTCGACATATACCTCGACTTCTTTGTGCATCATGTCATGAAGTAAGGTAGTTGCTGCACGTTGGTAAGTAGCACCCGCGTTTTTCAACCCGAATGGCATTACCGTGTAGCAGTAAGTGCCCCATGGTGTTATAAAGGTTGTCTTCTCCATGTCTTCTTCTGCCATGAGAATCTGGTTGTACCCTACGTATCCATCCATAAACGAAAGAAGCGCGTGGTTTGCCGTGTTATCTACCAGAATATCGATGTGTGGCAAAGGGAAGTCTTCCTTTGGACTTGCCTTATTTAGGTCTCGATAGTCGACACACATCCTTACCCTTCCGTCTTTCTTTGGAACTGGGACGACGTTGGCGACCCATTCGGGGTATTTGGATACCTTAATGAAACCTGTAGTTATTTGTTTTTGAACTTCTTCTTTTATTTTAAGTGCTATGTCGGGTTTCATTCGACGCAACTTTTGTTTTACAGGTTTCATTCCTGGAATTAGTGGTATAGTGTGTTGAGCTATTTCTCTATTAATGCCTGGCATATCTTCATATGACCAAGCAAATACATCGATAAATTCTTTAAGTAAGTTAATTAAATCGGTTCTTTCTTGTTTATTCAATGTTAATCCGATTTTAACTTCTCTTTTATGAGTTGAATCATTCGAGATGTCAACTGTTTCAGTTTCTTCAATTACTGGTGTTTTCTTTTCGAGTGTTTCCATTGCTTTAATAATTTCTTTGTCTTTTTCATCGTTAGCTAAGCAATGCTCGTCATCTTGGGTTAGGGAGGAACACAAGAAGTAAGGAGAATGAGAAATATTATTATAATCTGAGATCATTACATCAAAGAGTGATATGTCCTCAGGGACTGGATCACTAACTATCATAGGAGAAGAAATAGGAGGGGGAGGTGTTACTACTAAAGACTTAGAAGACTCTGAAGGGAAAGACTCTGACTCAGACTCTGACTCAGACGACTCCTCAAACATCGGTCCTTGCCCTGTCGTGATTGATATCTTCCTTCTGCTTGGAGTAGTTACTTAGTGATCCTTCGGCTGGAGTAATTAGCTTCGAGGGATCGAAGCTTTCACTTTGTAGGACCGTTTGAATGAGCGAGGAGTTATATTCTTCATAAGTTGGCTCATTCTTTTCTCGCCCAAACAATAATCCCATGACGTTAAATTCAAAGCATGGGGGTGCTTTCTCCTTATGGACGGGAGTTGGGATTTCATCAGTGAAGTAGTAATCCAAGAAAATCTCGAATCCCGGTTGTCTTATGCCGTTTACAACAAATGGCTCGGGAAATTCATGGCATGGATAGTCCTCTCCTTCTTTTATAAACTGACCATTAAGCGTAAGAGGGTACTGATCCATTGGAATTGCTTTCTTTTGAATGCGAGCGTCCCTACGTGCTTTCAACTTGTCCTGGGCTCGCTTGAGATCTTTCCGAGTCAGTTCAAAACCAAGTCCGAAAGTATCTAACTTAGGGAATCCAGGTGACTCCAGCGGTTTTGCCATTCCTTTCTTCTTTCCTAAAGTCATCTCAGGAAAGTGTCCTTGTTTCTTCAGCATGGCGTTGACGGTCATGTTGGAATGGGGGTCATGGCAAAGAGATGTCCTTTCATCCTCCTGGATTAAGGAGACTTCTTCGTTAAAGCCACATAAGTCTTCATCATCCTCATCGTGCTCGACATTAATAATTGAATTTTCTATGGATTTGATTCTCATTGGCGAAGCATCGATGGTGATTGGAATTCCTCCAACTATAGCCTTCACTTGTTGGTGGAGAGATGAAGGGACGGCCTTTAGATCATGAAGCCAAGGGCGTCCCAACAATAAGTTGAATGAAGCTTTGATGTCCACTACTTGGAAAGTAGTAGCATGTTCTATTGCTCCTGCCGTTACATTTAGGGTAATCTTGCCAAGAGCTTGACGACGAGTGTTATCGTAGGCTCTTATTCCTTGTGTGGACGGAGTTAAGTCTTCATCCCTTATGCCGAGCATCCTCGCAGTTCTAAGTGGACAGACATTGATAGCCGATCCATTATCTACAAGAGTCATAGGAACATTCATTCTTTTGCAGACTACCGTGAGGTTTAATGCGTTGTAATGTTTGTCACCTTCTGGGGGTAAATCTTTGTCAAAAAAGGTGATCAAATTAATCGGACTAGGAAGGTCACTTGTGAAGAAGTTGGCTAGTCCCTCAGGAGTAGTGTCAGAATCTATCCCGATTTTATCCAAGGAATTCATTACATCCAACCTATGCTCTCGAGATGTTGCCAGAAGTTTCCACACATTCATTTCGACTTTCGCCTTCTTAAACTGTTTAACAATGTCGTTGTCTTCGATGATAGGTATGGGAACTTGATGTACGGTTGGCATAGGTTGTGTTGAAACGGGAGGTTGCATTCTCCCAGATCTTATGAGGACGTCTATTGATGAATCTTCGTCAGCCCAAATGTCATCTGTGGTGTATGACACAGAAGTTGAAGGTCCTACTATGTCCTTTAGATAGACATCTTCTTCATCACTGTCCCAGACTCCATTAATGGTTGTATCCTCTTCTTGTTGAACTTGGACTAGTTTCTTTTCATCAATCATTTTCTGTACCAAATCCTTGAATTTGAAACAGTTTTCTATGGTGTGACCCCCTGATTGATGGTACTGACAATAATATCTATCTGTCCTTTTTAATGACTCAAATGATCTCGGTTCGAGAGGTTTGACCTCACCACTCTCGGAGAGCATTTCGAACATTTGCGCATATGGGATCCCAATCGGAGTGTAGATTCTACTGCTCTTCTTGGGTTTTTCAGTGACTTGTAAGGGAAAGTGCTTTGCCTCATAAGTCGTTCTCACTGGTGTGAATTCTCTTTTAGGTTCTTCTTTTGGAAGTGGAAGCTCATCATATTTCTTATGGAGTTTGTTCATAACTTTGAGAGCTTTACATAGTAGTTGCGATGCCTCCTTCATAGACAGTGTGAGCAGTTGTATATCTTCCTTATTCGCCGGTTCTGGAATACTATCCTTGACATCGAAAAAGATCTCCTCTTCTTTTTCTATGGCACTGATTTCTTCAACAGGTCTAATGAGAGAGGAGGGGTCAACCTCGTTTTCCTCATCGGAGATAGCCAGGGTATGAGCTAGAGGTGCATTGTCGATGCTTGGCTTCTTACTGGCAGGGGGCAACGATAGTTTGTTGTTGTCGATTAGGTCTTGGATAGCTTCCTTAAGCTTCCAACAGCTTTCAGTGGAATGGCCCCTACCTTGGTGATACTTGAAGTCAATGGCGGAACATCATAGGGGCCAAAGGGGGCCTTGGTCCCCCTCAACTATAATGCTACACATTAGAAAGTACAGTATATTATAGTAGGATATGTATGTGTGGTCTCCCTCAACAATTTTAAAAAAAATTAATTAAACTAAAGTTTCCTAAAAGACACCGTGTACTACTACTTGTATATGAAATGTAGTGGGGCCTTTTGTTGTCCTATTTATAAAATTAATAAAATAAAATAATAAAAATAAAGAAAGTTGACTACTACCTTTCCTAATCTCATTATACGAGATATCCAACTAAAAGTAGCTTCTTGTATAAGCTAAACATAATAATAATTTAAAAAAAAACAAAACAAAGGGTGGAAAACAGAAATCGCTTTTCTAATGTAAAACAAAAAACCCAAAAGTTTCAGTTAGGCCTTCATCAGTTCATCTACTTGCGGCGACTCTTCCTCTTCTCTTCAATTGTTCAATTTCAACATTATTCAAGCTATTTCAGGTAAATTGATTGTGAACTTTTTTTTCCCCTTATTTCTGATGTTGAATTTAATGTTAATTGCACAATTATAATCATATATATTGAGGTTATGTTAATTTTAAGAGTTGAAATTCTAGGTTTTAATTTTTATTAAAAATTGCAAGAAATTTGATTTTGCTTATTTACTGAATTATTGTAATTTTCTTTCATTTAAATTTGAAGAATGGTAACAAAGAGGACTATTACATCTTATTTTGCTCCCAAAAAAAGAGAGAGAATTGTTGAAGATTCAGACAATGCTGAACCAATTGAGGTTAGTGATAGAGATGAGCCAATTGTTGAACCTAATGTTGATTGCACTGCTAATGAACAACCACCTAGTGAAGAGGGTGTTGGAGTTGATTTTTTAATGCGTGATCCTGGTTTGCGTAAACAAATTGAAACTTATGATTCTGATGAAAAGGATTTAATTAGGAGAGAATACATTGATTTTGGGCCATATCAACCTAAACTTGCTAAGTACCCATACTCTGGTCCCGAAAAACATCCACGTAGGTTTCAGAAAAGTTGGTATGAGAAGTTTCCTTGGTTAGAATATTCTCTGACAAAAGATGCTGCCTATTGTTTTTATTGCTTTCTTTTTGCAAAAAAAACCTCTTGGGAGATGTGGCTCGGATACATTCACAGTAAAGGGCTTTCAAAATTGGAAGAAAGTTAATAGTGGGAAAGAGTGTGCATTTTTGTGTCATATGGGGAAGGATTCTAATTCAGCCCATAATTTTGCAACAAAGTGCTATTTTAATCTAAAAAACCAATCTTGTCTCCTTGAAAAATTGTAGAAAAACAAAATGCTGAGGAAATAGTTAGAAATCGGTTACGCCTTAAGACATCAATAGATGCTGTTAAGTGGTTAACATTTCAAGCTTGTGCATTTAGAGGACATGATGAGCGTTCTAGCTCGATTAATCAAGGGAATTTTTTTGGAGATGTTAAAGCTTTTGGCATCATATAATAAAGAAGTTGATTCTGTTGTTTTGGACAATGCCCCAAAGAATGCTAAATACACATCTCCACTAAGCCAAAAGGAGATTCTACATGTGTATGCTAGTAAAGTGCAAAGTACTATTCGTAAGGAAATTGGTGATGCTAAGTTTTGTTTGATTGTTGATGAATCTAGAGATATTTCTAAAAGGGAACAAATGGCTCTTGTCGTGAGATATGTGGATAAAAGTGGCTTTGTGAGAGAATGCTTCTTAGACTTGGTTCATGTTAAAGACACAACTTCCAAAACTTTGAAAAATGAGATTTGTGCAGCTTTATCTCATCATGATCTAAGTCTTCAAAATGTAAGAGGCCAAGGGTATGATGGCGCGAGTAATATGCGTGGAGAGTGGAATGGGCTACAAGCTTTATTTATGAAAGAGTGTCCTTATGCCTATTACATTCATTGTTTGGCTCATTAATTGCAGTTAGCACTTGTTGCTGCAGCAAGGGAAGTGCCTCAAATCCATACCTTCTTTCAACAATTGATTTTTGTTGTTAATGTGGTTACAAGCTCTACTAAGCGACACGATGAGTTACAAGAGACTCAGTTGGCAGAAATTCAACATCTAGTTGAAATTGAGGGTCTTGAAACAGGAAAGGGTCTTAATCAAATTGGTACATTACAACGACCTTGTGATACAAGATGGAGCTCACATTACAGATCAATATGTAGTTTGCTAAGAATGTATCGTGCTTCTCGGTCCGTTCTTGATGACATTGCTTCTGAGGGAACAACATATGCTCAAAGAGGTGATGCTCTAAATGGAGTCAAGTTGTTAATGTCATTTGAATTTGTGTTTAACTTACATGTGGTGAAGGAGATTATGGCCATTACTGATGGGCTTTGTCAAGCTCTACAATTAAAGACCCAAGATGTTGTGAATGCAATGCACTTGGTCTCCACTACAAAGACATTACTTCAAAATTTGAGAAATGATGGTTGGGTGAGTTTGTGGTCAAATGTGAGACAATTTTGTGAGATATATGATGTTGCTATTCCTGACATGAATGCTCCTTCTTTTGATGTGCTGAAATCTATTAGGCGACAATCAAGACAAAAGGACATTGTGACAATGGAACATCATTACCGGGTGGATATATTCTTTGCTGCCATAGATTGACAATTGCAAGAATTAAACACCAGGTTCAGTGAACGGGCTACCGAGCTTCTTATTTTGAGTTCAGCCTTGAACCCCAAAGATGGTTACAAATCATTTAATATTGAGCATATTTGCAAGCTAGCTAGAGACTTCTATCCTAAAGACTTCTCAGATCAAGAGAAAGAACATTTAAGTTATGAATTGCAGCACTACAAGCTTGACATTCCTATTCATCTCGAGTTGAAGAACTTTCCACTCTTGGTGATTTGTGTAGAGGATTGGTGACTACTGAGAAATATAAATTGTATCCTCTTGTTGATAAGTTAATTCGCCTTGTATTAACTCTCCCTGCATCCACCGCAACAACTGAGAGAGCTTTTTCAGCAATGAAGATTGTGAAAACAAACCTTCGAAGTAAAATGGAAGACAATTTTTTGAGGGACTACTTGGTGGTGTATATTGAAAAGGAGATCGCAGAGACACGTAGTGAAGATTCCATCATTGATATCTTTTACATGATGAAAGAGAGGCGAGCACAGCTCAAATGAAGTTTATAAAGGTATGTTTATATGCGGAATTTTTCAAAAGTTTATTGTTAAGTATATTCCTTTAATTTTGCTATAATTTCTTAGAAGTTTAAGTGTGGAAACTTTTTGAGAATATTGGTTGTAATTATAATATGATTTCGGTATTATTAGTATTTGTTCTTTTTTGGTCCCCGCCTTGTTTATATCCTGGTTCCGCCCCTACTTGAAGTGTGCATTAGGGTTCCAGTTAACCGACCTCTTCTCAACTGGTGGGTCCCCAAATGGTCTAATAGGAGTTATAAGACCTTTTGCATTTAATCGATCAAATGCGGTGTCATAACTCATGCCAATAGGAGTGAAGTTCCTCCTAAATGGTTTCTTCTGTCCTTGGTTGTTCATGGCAAGAACTTCTCCTAAATTAAAGGTGCTAACATTATTTGAGTGGGCGGTTTTGGAAGAAGAAGGATTGTCGTTCTTCTTTCCTTTCCAGCCACTGTTGGAGTTATTGTTGGCAGCTTTTGACTTAGCCAAGTCATCTTCAATATTGATCCCAATGTCATAAACGGCCTTGAAGGTATGGAGATTATTTTGATACTTGAGGTGCTTGGAATATTTTTCTTGGAGATTCTTGATAAATAGTCTCACAGACTCTTTTTCACTTGGCACCTCAATCATCTTAGCTGAGGTTTCTCTCCACTTGTTAAAGAAAGAGGTGAAGCCTTCATTCTCTTTCTGTTTGAGTATTTCAAGTTCTCTATGGTCAGTCTCGACTTGAATGTTGCACTTGTACCTATCAACGAAAGCGTTTGCTATAGACTCCCAGGTAGAGGTCTTTTCTTTCTCGAGAGAAAAGAACCATTGTTGGCAAACGGTCTCGAGAGATAGTGAGAAAAGAGAAGGAAAGACCTTCTTATCGATACCCTTGATACTCCTTATGGTGTCAAACGCTCTTAAATGAAAGTAAGGGTTGTCAATTGCTCTGAATTTTGGGATGTCGTTGGCGTTGAACTTCTGCGGAAGAAGATCTTTGTCCACCGAGACCCTTTGTGATGTAAGCTCTTGAAACTTGTAGTCGCTGGACAACTTGCTTAAACTCTCTTGCATGAGGTCCATTTGTTGTTGCTTCACGGGATCATTGATCTTAAGTGCGAGAAGTTTTAGTGTCTCAGTCACAGTAGCCAGTTGGTTCTTAAGATTATTGACTTCTTCTTGAGTTGCCATTATAACCCTAGCTTTTCTCTTGCGAGCTATGGGTTTGTCAAAAAGTTGGACTTGTACGAAGAGGTTATCTTTGATTAATCGTCCTTCCTTTCTTGACCACGCGCTGTAAAATAAACCATTTTGCGTTTTAATTACTTGACTCAAATCAACTTGACTTTATGGTTTATTTTAAGGGAAAAAGAAAAAGAAAAGGGTGCATATATTTGGAAAAAATAATGTACATATTTCTAGGGAATTAAGTATTATTATTTTTTATATTGGAGCACATATTTCTAGGGAATTAAGTATTATTATTTTTTATTGGAGGATTAATATCCGACTTACCCCCCTAAAAAATGACGGAAAAACGCGCACACAAGACTCTCTTAATCATGGTCAAAGTATGTGTATTGGTGTGTGCGTTGAGTGTAAGTGACATGCTTGGACTCTTGTGTAAGACCATGGGACTTAGTGCCTAAACTCGATCGTCGATTCAACTAAATGTTATTGACAGCAAAATTAACCGAATTAAAACAGAAAACTGATTAATTAGACCCTAGGTGATGACTCGACCAATAATCCGAACTATCGGCCAAGCCACAGGACTGGCGTCACATTATGGAGCTTGGCGCCAGACAACATAGCTGTCGTCAGGCGCTACACTCCATAGTGTGGCGCTACAGCTCAGACTTTGGCGCCAATATTGGAGCTTCGGTCTGGGACTGTTTTCGGTGTTATGAGTCAATAGGGGTATGCCTAAAGTCGTACTTGGTCAATTCCGATTAAAATATTAGACTTTATTGACTCAAATTAATTAATTAATTAATTAATTAGGCAAAGTTCTTTAAGTCATTAATTGATTTAGTCTCAACACAAGTCAACAAACGGTTAAGAGAAACATAGAATATATATGCACAACAAATAATGCACAATTAGTCAAGTAGGCACAACATGATGCAATGCGTTCACAATCTAACCATGGATCTAGTTCTCTAAAGTTCGGGATATGGTTTAGTCAAAAAGGGTCCATGATTAATTGTCCGAATGCACCGCGCGGAAGCCTAACCATGAAGGGTTGGTGCGAGTGGATGGGACACCGCGAGCTTTATAAAAAACTCGCTTCCATGGTTTGGTGAATTTAACATCTCGGATGTACCCTTTGTTGCACGGGGCGTTCAATCAGGTAGATGGAGCAGGAATTCCCAGAGGGTTATGTCCATATGTAGAACACATATGGGTTTCAGAAAAGTGAGAAAAAATTCAATCAGGAAGTAGGATCGAGCAAACAATACGAAAAACCGGTCGAAATTAGAACGCATATTGCTGGCTCGGTATTGGGGGAAATTGGCGCCAGCAAACAGAGACTGGCGCCAGCTTTTAAATGTAGCGCCTGGCGCCAATACTGGCGTCTGGCGCTACGGCTAAAAGTCTTGCGCCAAGCTCTGGCCCCTGACACTACTTCCCACATGCCTCACCAGCTTTCTGTGCTCGATAAAATTTTCCAGTTTCGCGCGGTGTTATTTCAGTCCTAGTTGTGAAATATATTTCTCAAATTTCCTATGTGTAAAATCCTATGTTTTTAACTCATTACGTATGGTCTTTCCAATGAGATCTTTTTTATGCATATGACAATAATGTTAATAAAAATTACGCACATGAAATACTTAGAACGTTTCGAGTCTCATCCACTCATTCTAAATCATTGCCGAAACAAATTCAGGAATTAAAATAGAAATCCTCCCCAGTGGAGTCGCCAAAAACTGTAGGGAATAAATTCAAGCTTTAAAATCCCACTAGCTTGAACCCCACTGTGATTATACACTAAAGTGGTGGCGTCCAAAAGGGAAGAAGATAGAGCAAAAGAGTCGCCAACAAGTTTTTAAGGAACTTGTAAACCATTCACGAGGTGAAGGTTACACCCCTTAACGATCCAAGAGATCGTCAACTCCATAAGGTCATGAACCAAATAAGGGTTCGGGGATGAAGGTACAAATCCAACCTAAAAGAGATTGAACCTGCCCTAATAATAGGCCTCTACTTTATTCTGATCGTATTCATGTGCGCTTTTTAATTAAGATACAATAAATAGGAATAACCCTAAACCTGTTTATCTATGTTGGTTGAATATTAATGCACAAATAAACTATTATTGGCGATCACTTGAATTATAATCACAATTAATCCTAACAAGATTATTAAATATCTTATTAAGCGTGATTACATGTACAAAATTCCCTTTAAACATGCATAAAAGGCGTGATCAAACAATAATAATAAAATAAGCATCAAGCAACATAATAATAATCAATCATTAGAATAAACATGAATAATAATAATCATCATAAATTATACTAATTATAATAATAATCATGTTCATGTTAATACTAAAGCATAATAATAGCAAGATCCTAGGCATGATACTAACAAGATTAATAACAAACCCTAGCATGTCACTAAGCAATAAAAATCAAAGCTTTAGCCCTAACATGATACTAACAATCATAAACATTAGGAAGAACATAGTAAGCATCGCAACAATCATATTTAATATTAAAATTACCCTAGACATGATACTAGGAATATCATAATAACAATATAAACATGATTTCTACATCAATAAATCAATAAAAACCAATAAAGTACTTACTTTGATGCTTCGTACCTCTTTCTAATAACAAAATACACACGTTAGTAACTTCAAGGAAAATAATAAATCAAATAATTAAATTAAATAATTGAAAGAGAGATTTGGGACCAAACCCTCAGAAATTAAACCTTTCACGTCTAGGGCGAAGACAACTTCGAATATGGCTAGGTGTTTCTAGATCTTGTGAATGCGGAATTTTGTATGAAAAAGCAAAGTAAGAAGAAAGAATTAAATGAATGATAATTAAAACAGATTAAGATCATGAGAATGATGAGAATTGGTGAATGAAAACAATTGGTGAAAATTGGTGAATGAAAACGGAGTTTTTAATACGATATTTATAGAGAAAATCAGCCAAAAAGATAAATTAAACAAAACAGAGTCTGACGCTCAGAAAACAGAGCTGGCGCCAACCCTAGCTAGCGGGCGCCAGGCACCAACACTAGCGCCAGGCGCCAATGGCTAGCGCCAGGCGCCAAGGCCTGGGGTTAGGCGCCAAGCCTGATTCCAACGCGTTTTCGAAAATCCGATAAGTTTACCATTCTGGAGGGTAAAATAATATAATTTCCTCGAAAATGCTATTTGATTTTGATTAAAACTCTGAAAAGTCAACAAAAGTCAATTTATCAATGCTAATTGAATTAGGA